ACATTACCATGATTTAAAATATTTAGTCAGGATTTCTGGTTGTCCAACGAACTGTGTTCTGTGTGCAGCTCAAGGGGTGACAAGTAGGATGTGACAGACTGGGACTTCCTCTGATCCCAGACCCCGCCAGACACGCACTGCATTTACACAATTCATAGTATCCCCAGAACCAAGAATATCCAACTTGCTTGCTTTCTCTTTTCTTAGCATGGCAAAGTGATGTGAAACGTGAGGGACAGGACCCTAGGTTTGGTATGTGCTGTCCATTTATTCCCTTTTGGTGTCAAAGTGAACTTACTATTCCTCCAAACATTGAAAAGTTGCATCCTGACCAGCTTCTTAGGGTAGCTAATGTAATTAAGCCAAATTATTAGTGATTATTGTTAGACTGGATAAAAGCTCAATCCTTTACCCAGAACGTCAGTGACAAGCGCTGTTGCTGCTTTTCCACTGTTTTTAGCGAGAGCAGACCAGACGCTGGTTCTGTCAAGGAAACACCTGGCAACCAGAGGAAAAACTCACGTACCTGCTCCTGTTGAGAAGCTCTAATAACTGGGCGCCAGCCTCAATCCTGATGGGGGGTGGAGGGAGGGGGGGCGGGCACTGTGGTATGGTGATGGATTTGAATTTATTTAGAATAATGCCCATGAAAGGAAGATAAAGGTTTGCAAAATCCTCTACCAGAGAGCTGACAGAAGGACAATGGGATCAGAATATACTGCCTAGCAAAAAATAGCATTTAAACTAAATTTCCTGAAGTGTTAATGTGTTTCTCTAATTTCCTTCTCCTAGAGACCTTCCAGGTGCTTTTGCAAATCTTCCTCTTGATTTTAGAGATTATGCTTATGCAGATAACAAAAAGAAACAAGGCTGTTTCATTAGATAATCATTCACACTTGAACAAAGCAAGCTGGATACCAAGTACTGAATATGGGGAACAAGCGGCTCTCAATCCATCTACTCATTGAGAACTAAAACTCATCAATATATTTGTTGAATAAAATGGAATGAGTTAATTAGATAACTCAAGATAATCTTGAGCAAAAAAGAAAATAACGTCACCAGATAAATTATCTCCAGGCAAATGTGTGCTCAGCTCTAGTCAACACCTTCTACTTTCCAACACCCATAAAATCTTTGCTTTGAGAGAGCACAGAGAAGACCATCGTTCTTGTAACAATAACGTGTTTTTTAAATCCAGTTCAGGGTATTTTCATCTTCACAGCAGGACACATTATTATATTCTCCTTAGGCTAATCTGAAACCAACTATTGCTACCTATTATGTGTTTAATGAAACATAGGAAGAGATACTGCTCGCAGATTTGCTTTGGAAAAAAACTTTACCAAGTAGTAGAGCCAACTAAGACTGATCTTCAGCTGGCATCAGCCAATGTACTTCTACAGGCAACAGCATAAATCAATTTGCATCAGCTGATACAGGCACTTCATATGAAACCCTACCCCGCCCCTACCCCCAAGCAAATAAATAAATAAATAAATAGAGCTTGCCTCACTTGCACAATAAAAGTAAATAAGACAAATTTAGGTATGGAAGTCTCTCTCTCTCTCTCTCTCCTTTTTTTTTTTTTTTAAAGTAATTACTCCATTCTTAAGGTAGGACTTCGTTTTACATGGGGAGGGGAGATTAACATTTGATAATCATCACTAATATGATAAAAGGTTGCTATTACCAATGACTTAAGTACTACTTCCCTATAATTTTCAGTTTATGAGTTTATAAATTGCTTTGTTATTTAGTGCAGGCTCCTTAAATCCTGAAGTCTTTATGCACTGTATGATAACAAATGGATCAGTTTTATCACTTATAATAGTTCAGTAAATCATGAACCAGCCTACCTTTCAGTAAAGCCATCGTATAGCACTTATCACAGCAAGCCTATCAGTTGCTATTTCTGACTATATTTCTGACAAAACAAACTCCTTCACTCTCTCCTTTTCATGTTGCCTGTTTTTTAAACAAGGTGAAGGCAGTCTCATAACTGGGGCTTTATCATGGCTTGGATTTGGTGAGGGGCATGCACATTCACGGGGCAGCACGTGCAAGCAGCGCCCCTCCCTCCCTGGCTTTACCATCCCCACCACTACTGTCAGCAGCACTACCAAAACAGCCACAAAAAAAAGGCGAGACTCTGCTCCTATGCATCCAGCCTGAAGTCTTGTCCTCTTGGCAACACCTCCAGAATTATCCACGCCATTAGGCTGCCCAGTATCTCCACCATTTTCCTCACAATATCAGAAAGACCTCAACCAACAGGCCCCTCGCACTTGGCTGCCAGAGGGTCCTGACCCACGGCCACCGGGGATCAGCACGGAGAGGGGGACCAGGTGCAGAGGGGTGGCCGGGTGAGAAGCCTTGACAGGTGCCAGCATTTTCACCATCTTTTTACATTTGTCCTAGAGCCAGAAAAATCTCACACATTTAGGTATGGAAGTGTCTCTCTCTTTCTCTCCCTCTCTCTCCGTCTCTCTTTTTTTTTTTTTTAAAGTAATTACTCCATTCTTAAGGTAGGACTTCGTTTTACATGGGGAGGGGAGATTAACATTTGATAATCATCACTAATATGATAAAAAAGTTGCTATTACCAATGACTTAAGTACTACTTCCCTATAATTTTCAGTGTCGAAGAGAATTAGAAACCTTATCACTATGACTTTTGGTCTACTCAAAGATACACCAGCTTGGAATTTGCTAGATCTGATCCCAGTTAATATTTCTGTGCCATTCACGTCCTCCATTACCCAGCTATAGCTGATACCCCTGTTCAGGAAGCGAGAGCCTCTGCTCAGCACCAGCGGTAGGTAACCCTTCATGCCGCTGCACAAACTCAACAGAGACGCATGGCCAGGGAGCATGGACAGCCTCCGCTGTCATCGGCGAAACCTTTCCCTTCTCAGCTACAACAGGAGCCACGGTCTTCTAGCAAGGCAAAGTACATGGGAACTTTGCCTTACTGCTGCCACGCTGATATAGATTGACAGGGCTATGACAGGGCTACAAGTGAAATTACCTCCTCAAACGTCAAATCCACATGGCAGTCATATGTGAAGCTGCATGACACTTCAGATCTTCCCCTGCCTCATCCCCAAGAAAACCCCTAGAAGCTGGCTTGTGTGTACAAATGCGAAAGAAGCAGAGCAAAGAGGGGATGGATTAAAAAAAAGAGATTTCAGGGACAAATCAGCAGACATAGAATGCATCATTTCAGAAAGGCACTGCAGCAGGGAAAAACATAAAAGTGCAAAATAAAAACATACAGACATTTCAGAGACCAAACGTGGAAGAGGAAAGAAATGACACAAGAGAATTCAAATACCTACCGCTATAGAGAAAAAGGTGACACTGTATGCACAGGTCACTCGGTATATTACAAGTACACAAGAATGGCATTGAGATAACTCAGAAACAAAACAGATGAATACAAAACTTTTTAACTGGTGGCTCCTGATTTCTATATTAACAATTTCAGGAAAGCTAGTTTTTGTATACCACATCATAACTGAAGAGTGCAAAACACTTCTTGCCTAACTGGTAGGGCACTATTTACACAAGTAAGCATTTGGCGCAGTAAGCATGGGTCTGCAAAATAACAGGCTTCAGGATCTTCTTCTAGTGCTTTGTTTGAAATCCCTATTCCTCATTCTCACAGAAATCAGAGACTGCTTGAGGACCTACTAATGGCACCATCAGATCAAGAAAAGGAAGCTGTAATGCTGCTCTTTAATAAATCAATGCCTCTTTTGGCTGCCTTCCAGACCACAGAAACACTCTGGGCATCTTTGCCTTTCTTTCATTTTGTGCCTTGTAGGACTCTCTCCATCATCTTTATGGCTGCATATACTCTCCATAGCCTTTTCTTTTACTTGGCTTCTATCTTGAGACTCGATGAATACTCCCTTTCAATAGCTTTCAAACTGTTTTTCCAGAAACCCTTGACGTTTACTGGAACCATTTGTGCATCATGACAAATCAGTAATGAGATAAGAGTCAAAGCTGCATCAAAGTTTTCTCAATATTTGCAAGATGCTATATGTATGTGCAAGCCCAAATAGTTCTCCTAATTTTCAGTAACACTATCAAAGGACTTTGAGATCACACTTGGGAAACTTCTGTCCCTCAGTCCAAACTACGTGAGGGAACCCAAGGGATGCCAAGGGACGAAGTGAGCTGGGATGAAGAGTGCCTGCTGGGAGTCTGGAAGAGGGAACGTCTTCCTGCCATCTCAAACTTTAACATAGCCGAGAACGGTTCTGCACCCAGTTATCCATAATCTCTTCTTGTTCACACTGAATATTTAACAATAAATACACTCATCTCTGGATTTAGAATTTCTTTAATTAGGACACAGTTATTTTTGAAAAATACATATTTCTAAAAGACAGTAAGAGTAATGAAGAAATACTGGCATTTCCTGTAGCATTGCATAGCTTGGTAGCTATAAATCCGTACCGGAGGTAAATGCACACAACAGTGTTCCAAGGAACAGACCTCTGCACTGCCTCCCTCACAGCGTCACCAGATGGTAACCAGTGCACCATATCCCTTCCAATAGCTCAAGAGTAGTGACAAAAATTTTCCTGATCTCGAGAATTTTAGGAATATGCAAGCTTGTTGCAAAAGGTCAAGCAGCAACATAAAATGTAGAATATTTTTGTATGTATGTGTCAACCTTTATTAAAGCAGGTCAGCCCTCTAACTCTGTACACACTTGCACGGCCACCAAACGGCCAATAAACCAAATACTAAGCCAACAAACCTGTATACACTTCAGTCCAGCCATAGCCTTCCATCCTATCATGGAATTTCATTCGGTAATGTAAAGTTGGATTCCCTGCCCATTCATTCTCACAATTATAAAGTCCACTTCTCATACAATTCTCTGCTTGTGTAGAGAAAATGCTCACTGTGTTGTCTCTTCACATTAGTTTCCCATTCTTTCAGTAACAAAATTTACCGCATATTAGAGATGCCATGCTTACCTCAGACACTCTCCATTAGGAGGGATCCAGCCTGTACACTAAATATTTAATTTGTGTTCTGAGATGCTCTGAATCTATGTATTTTCTAGTTTCCTAAGGGGTTCATGGTTCACATCAGTTGGATACTTCTTTCTCAGCAACAAAAAGCAGTTACCTATTTCCAACAGCAAATGCACGTGTACCGACACTGAAACAAAATGAAAAAAAAAAATAAATAAAATCAAATTGCATCCTACTCCGAAGACAGTGAAATTCTGGAAATATAATCTCACTCTCAATTCAAGATATAGTTTCATCTTTTAATAAGATGGTTTCCTATCACACAGAAAATTTTCTTTTTTGAGTATGTGCAAAAATTGAGATGAACTTTTCTCCTCAGGAGAAAAATTCTCCAGTGGTGTTGCAAGCAGTCATTGTTCTTCATGTCACCGTACAACCCATCGTCTTCCCAGACAAATTACTAACATGGTGGCAACATTTTGATGCAGCCTGAGATTACTCCATAGCTCTGAAGCACCTCCCACAACAAAAAGTTGTTGATACTTTGAAGTGGACAAAGGGAGTGCCTACTGACCACAATCTTGCGTAACATGAAGTTAAAAAATAAGTTTCCTTTGGAGCTCCATTAGTCTCAGTGGGGCTCTGCACAGAGAGTAAATTGCAAAAGGCTGATCAAAGGCGTCACAGCCTCTTACCGCTTTTCACTGAGCAGGACCTCGCTAAAACACAGTATCTTTGCAAAGCGATCATTGCAAACGAACAATATTAAAGCATTTCAAAAGATATTTTCATTTTTTGACACATGGACTTTAATGTGCTGTATTTGGCAAAACCGCAAAAAGCATTCACAGGCATTTTTACTCTGCTTCTACTTAGCATGTTCAATGTATAAGTTACACACATAGCAAAGCTGTTACTAGCAAGGCTCCTTCTCCATTAAGTCCTGCACTTTAAACAAGGAAATGCTAAACGAGAAGAGCTTATTAATGCAATTCAGCACGGGCAGAGGGGCTCCTGGACTGCAGTAGCATAGATTGCGTAAAAGCCCATATGGCCTCTCTGTGGAGATATTTGCAGTGTTTCACACTGGGCTGTAACAGCAGCAGCCCTCTGGATAGCGAGCCAGTCTCCAAACTAGCTGGATGCTCAGAACTGAGGTTCGATGGTTATGGAAGCCGCTAATTCAAATATGCGAGCCAGGCAGCACGAGCACACAATCACACATGCGCTGAAACTTTCTTGGCCTCAGATGCATCTTTTAAAACTGCTTCCACATTACCAACTCCAGCACTGTTGTGCTTTCTTTTTTAACTGGGTAGAAGGCGCTGCCTGGCAAAGGAGCAACGGGCGCTCCGGTGCCTCCCTCGCGCCGGCGAAGGGCCCAGCCTGGCGCCTCCCCGAAGGCCCCACGAGCCGGCCAAGGTTTCAGGGAGGGAGCAACGCATACTGGGTGGAAACTCAGCAAGCATTTGGGTGGAATTTAGGTTAGAAAAACATGCAGGACCATAAATCTGCTTTTCCTGTTTGTTGTAATAATGTTGAAATACGTTTGCTTCAGCTCAATTTTCCCCACATCACAGTCTCATACTAATTCTAGTATGATTACAGTTGCATATTTAATAAGGTCTTTTCACTATTTTAAATAATATAAGAATTTTTCCGTGTTTTTGGAACAAAAACTCGGATGGCTCTGAATCCTAGGTGGAAATTTTTGTTTCATTAGGCATTTTGAAAACTGAGATTTTTTTTTCCCCTTCAAATTAGGAATGACAACATCCTGAGAAATATCTCAACGGTATACAGAATAGAAATTCTGTTTTCGAGAGTTTCTCAACCGTCTTCCAGGAAAAATCATCAATAACAAAGCAGCTTTCTCCCCACAGCTGACAATGTGGCCATATCCAGGAGAGATCTTAATACCACTGACTATATGCACCATGCATCTTTGTCCCTCTGAAAAATAACACTCGGAGGAGAGCTGTGTGTAGCCACTTATTTATAATGTTTACAGTGCTCTTTTCTGTGCATGCATTTATTTATTAATAATTCTTCCAAAAATCCAAGAACATTCTGGATGAGGACAACTTGAATAACTACAATGCCTATGCAACTTTGGTATAATTTTTGGAATAAGGCGTTACAGAGTTGTTAAGATAGTATCCAGAAACTTTTTGATTTCTCAGTTTCATCCATTTATTATTACATTTTAAATGTCTCTCAGCTAGTCTATACCACTGTGTTACTATGGCAGGTTACTGAGGTTTTGCTGGCAAGGAACAAAAAAATATATCCTTGACTGAGGTTTTCAGGTTTTCAGCTGCCTCTGTTATCGCTGCCATCGGGTTTTCGTGAGGCAGTTCCTCTTCAAAACAAGTTTCTCATTCCCTACAATTACTCTTTACAGAGGCTGCCGAAACTGGCTTATTTTCACTTCACACTTCTCCCCAAAATTTCCATGTGGTCCCATTTTTCTCTCCCCACTCCTCTGTGTGTGCAACTGCTGCAGGAGATTATTCAGCGCCATCAGAAGCACACAGCAGTCGTGTGGAAGACGTGGAAGAAGATCTAACTAGTGCAATGAAGAATTTATCACAGGAGCATTTTACTACAATTTATTTATAATGATTTTCATCAGCCTTTTGAACCGACTGCTGTTCACTGATTCATGAACGCTATGGCCCTTTCATGTCACCTCCGGTTTCATCTACATAAATCATTTCTGGTTTATAAAATAATTTTCCATTATTGCCAGCTACATCTCCTGGACAGTAAAATGGGAAATGAAACACAGAAACAACAGATAAGCCTCAAGTTTAAGATTTCAGAAGAAATAATATGGCTGAAATAAGGTGGTTTATTACTTTTTTTTTTTTTTTTTTTTTTAAAGCTTTACAGCTTTGGCTTCTCCATGCTAAAAGGCACACAATCTATTATATAGAAAAAAATTTAAAATTTATCAGCAAATTTCTGTGAATAAAGGCTAAGTTTTTATCCCATTATTATATATTGGTATCCTATAAGTCACAGAGTCCTCCAAAAATGGTAAAATTGTTTCTGAAAACTAAATGTAACCCTAATACTATTGTGTATCATTCTGGCTAAGTCCCTAATACCTTCCCAAAGCAAGAAATCAGTGATAAAACAGTCTTAGGCTATTTTGGGTCCTGAAGAGGTATCATTATTTTAACATACTGAATAGGTTATGGAAATTATTCTTTTTTGCAGCTAGTACGTCTAAAGACTGTGTAGTAAGCACTGCTTCCTTCTTTAAAAATAGAAAGAACACCAACAGCTTTGTCAGTACACCGTGATAGCTCTGTTTTGATGTCAATAAATTAATAAGTTATAAAGTGTGGGTACATATGAGTTCAGAAAAGTTTCATTATATTTTAGTCACCAATGAAAATTCAAAATACTATCCTGTCCTTCTCTACAAACTTGGTAATCTGGATGCAAAATTACTGTAACTGAAAAAAACAAAAACAAGTCAAGCTTTCTTGTGTTCTGTAGTAAAAGTGTTTCCCTATACGGCTCTCTACTTTCAGTCTGAGCAAGTGAGTGGGAATACGACGAGATCTCAAGAACTGGACATTTCAAGGGCTAGGTAAATTATGAGCTGGTAAGTGGGCTTATAGTTTTTTCTAGATTTACAAGGGTTTTTTAAATCTATAGTTAAAGGTCAAGGAAGAAAGGTAAATAATTAACAATAACGTTCCTTTGCTATACTTTGGATTGCTACTTTTCAGGCAAAGGTCAGATAATATTTTTGATGATTTTCAAGTGGAATCACAAATATAATTCGATTTCTGAAGTGATTTTTAGTGAAAGCAGGACAGTAGACACGGTATAAGACATACCTTGAGTTTGAAAGCACAAAAAATGAGCCAAATTCAAAAAATTAAGATACCTTTTAAAAGATATCAATACAGAGCATACTCTTAAGTTTGTACTTGGGCACTGTGGCCCAAGTTGAAAATTGTTTGGGGCAGGGAAGAGGGAGAAGAAGGAGTGAAAAAAGAGAAAGTTAAATGGCCAAGGAATTTAGATTTTTTTCCAGCACAGCTGCTTTTAGATGCAAATGTCCATGCACAAAAATTTGTCCCTGGAATTATTAATAAGGAACAGTGCTCACAATACCTCCATGCTACGTAGTGAACAAACAGTTATCTATATCACATAAATTGTGGCACACAGCTGTGATCACAGTCATTGATCATGAAAAACTGTGGGAATAAAATGGGAGATTAATGTGATCCAGCTTAAAATTCCCAGGCCATTGTATGATACAAAAAAGGTACAACAGAAATCAAGGATGTTTTTGTACCATAAATTACTCAGCGCAAAGAATGTATCTTACTCTATGCTTGTCAAGCACCTATAATTTATGGTGCTATATAAATGATTTTTAACAATGATGGAAACAGTTATAGAAAGCAGTAGTTTAAATGATGGTGGAAAAAAGGAGAAATGAGTTGACACCATATGAAGTAATCTATAGGATATAGGGAAAACTTTAACCAAAGGAAATGACTAAATCAAGGTAATAAAACTTTTAATGTGCCCTTTGGAGGGCAGCTGCCCTCAAGTAGGAAAGTAACCTTGATATGAAGGTCACTTTTTACTTTCAAAATTGTACTGAGATTTTAGGAATTTAGACACGTATTCAATTTTTTTTCACAGACGTTTTATTTTAACACCTATTAACATGAACAGAAAACATGAAACATGGTAAAAAAAAAAAAGAAAAAAAAAAGAAAAGAAATCCCAAACATAAACAATGACTGATTTTGGCATTCTTTTCTTTTTTTAAATAACTTTTTCCAAAGCTAGGTAGAGGTTTCTCAAGACTGCAAACAGAGGTGGGATTTGGAGCAATGCATACTCACAGGAATTTGTTTCAGTGGAAAGGACTGAAGATACAGTTCAAGCTTTGATGTTTAAATATATCATTTTCCAAATGGATGATAGCTCCTGCAGCGGTTATGCTATCCTGGTTTCCTGTTGTTAGGATACATTAGGAAGGCATCAAACAGATACGCGTAGGAAGATGTGTGTTTGCTGATCTTGCTGCCCAAACAGCCTCTGCAAACACAGCAAAAAGTGCACAACTGATGGCTAAGATAGTTTTGTTCACACAAAGTTTTGCTGTGAGGCTTTGTGATGATGCAAAAAATTAATGATCTCTTTCTCTTCAGGACATGTTCATGCTTTCAGTAAGGAACTAAAGGTATTTTTGAAATTCTGTACTTACATTCATTTAACATCCAAAAATAGAAACAAACCCCTGCTTGAATCCAAAAGTTCGTGATGGCTCAAAAGTCATGTCAGCTTGATAACACACAATTGATTTTTGTTTGTTCAGCTCCTGTTCTTTTGCAGTAGCTTATTTTTATTTCTCTATCCTGCTTCCTGGAAATTACATACTAGTGCTTGGGATTCTGTACTAAGAAAATCATTTCTGTTGAACACGCAAGACTTGTCTTTCAGCGCAACTTGGGATTTTGCTGCAGAATGGAACTACAGAGAGCAATTACTGCCCAGGGATGCTTTCTTTTTAAAAGAATTTCAAGAAGCTAAGAACAGGTATACGCTCTTTGTAAAATGTTGGGCTATCTAAGGCCAAGATTTCACCCTTTATGTAGACAGTATGGTGTATATGCTGTCACATGTCAACCACATGCTTGTAGGACTGGATCCTTAAACTGTAATACATAATATAGACATGTGTGTACATGTTTATAGATATATACATACAAATTGATAGTGTGTGTCTGCGTGTGTAGGATTATCTCCCTCTCTGTTGCTCTGGAAGAATTTGGAAGCTGTTTAACAAAGCATGATATTTAGATGGTTTAGGAGTGAAGCAAACCTGCCTAGTCTGAACAAAGTGTAGAAAGATTTTAGAGAATATGAAAAGATAATTACCATCAATACTAGAACATGATGGCCGTACTGCCATTAATATCCCTTCTTTCTCTCTAATTTAAACAATATCAGTTCAAGGAGTTAATGCAGCCCAATGAATATGTCTTTATAACACTATATCATTTGGATTTTTCATGTAAATTGCTTCCAATTAATAAAATACTTTCAATGCGTCTTGTTCTCTTTACAACCCAGTCAGTCAGTTATTTGATATATAAGTAAACAAGAGAAACCCACCATACAGTACCAAAGTGTTTTCCAAAAATCCAGCCACTTCCCAGTCCACCTGGGACTGAAAAAAAAAAAACTTTTTCATTTGAACCTCCTGAAAAACTACTCCCAATACTCCCCTCCCCACCAAAAGCCATAACGGTCTAATGGAAACCCCTGGAAATAAAACCAGGGGAGAGGGAGTGGACTGCAGGAATTAGTCCATCCACTTCAGTGTTCCAAAAAGCGATACTTATAACTCTGAGGACAAACAAGCTTCTACCTTTCCTTGATGAAAAAGAAGAATAAAGAGAGTATCGTCTCACGACTTCTGATGTAACACTCCATTAACTCTAATGTCAGCTTCACTCTTGTCCCTTGTTGTAATTTAAAACAGACTAAAAACATAAAAAGATCTGTTTAATTCTCAGGATGAAAGGAATAGAAAAATAGAATACTAATATTCCAGTACTAACACTACACTAATACAAACAGGTATCAAGAAACGTCAGATAAAAACGTGCAGGGATCAACAAAACCTGGCTGCAGATCCCTTCTTTCAAGGATGAGCTCTCATTTCCACAGAGAGTGTGCGCGCGTGCCTGCGTGCGTGTGTGTGTGTGTGTATTTAATTAGAAGCTAATCCAGGCAAAACTCTTATTTACATAGGAATATATATTTGCACATACATAGTAATATATATGAATCATGGAGTTTTGAACCAGACAACATTGCCATACTTAAGTCATCATGCCAAGTTATTTATAGAATGTAGTTTGACTGTTGGCTTTGAAATAGAAGCAAATCTCTCTTTCTCTTAATAAGATGGATAAAACTAGATTCCTGTGGGATATGTAAACACTGTACCTTAAGCTCATCATTTGTGCCATTTGTAACCAGTTTGACTACTTACGTTGCAGCAACTTTGTGGCATCATAAAGAATACTGTCTCAGAGGATTTTCCATGAGGAAAAATAGAAAAATAAGCCAAAACCCCATACATCCAGCTTCTTTTGAATTCTTTGTTGTTTAGTCTTTTGAATGTAAATATGCAACTTTAAAAGTTAAAGCTGTTTTTTGTACAAAGATACTCACTGTTATTTCCTACTAAGGATTCAACCATATGCCAGTGTTGTAGTCATTGTTTCCCACGGCTTAAAAAAAAAAAAAAAAAAAAACCATGAGCTCACTTTACTCGAGCTCTAACTTACCTGGTTCCCATGCAGTCCCATTGAATCCCAAAGATATGAGACATTACTTACTAGAAAGAGTGAATATTTGAAAGTTCAGGAAAAAGAAAGATAGAAGTTTTGGAAAAGCTCATGGCATTTCTGTGCATCCTATAACCATAACAGCTACTCCAGCAAATTTTTAGTATGGACAGTTATAAAAATACTGCACAGACCAGAATACTTGACCCACAAAACACTACAGCTGAAGATATTATAACAGTAGACAACCACAAAGCAGAGGATGGAGAAGCTACCACAAGACTGCCAATTTGGGTGGAGGACAGTAAAAATATTAATAATTCAAATAGCAATAAAAAGAATGGTAATCCTGACACGGCCCTAACTCTTCTCCAGCCCCACACCCAGCAGAAACCAAAGGCAAGTCCACTCCTGGACCAAGTCCAATTCATAGCCAAACACAGTGCTTGCCAACAAAAAACAGCGCAAGATGACTTAGAAACAGAAGCAATTCCTGTATGCCTTTCTGCAGAGACATGTGCCTTAGCTTCTAGGCTGTTCATAATGAAAATGCTCCTAGCAAATACTGAAAGATCATCTTTAATTTTTGTTCTATCTAAAGCTACACACTTAAAGGTCTGGTTTCAAACAGGTCAAAGTGAAATTATAGAAGCTATGTGAAAAAGACCTCAGTCTCAACAAATAAAAATTAAGCAAGATAAATTATTCTTCTCTTCTGGAACAGCATCACTGATTGCACCAAGCGTTCTGCAGAAGAAGCTATAGGCAAGCGTTACAGAAAGTCTGCACGATTACTGTACAAAATGCTACTGCTGAGTGTGAAAGCTGTTCCCAGATATACTGGGGATCCAATGCGCTGTCTTGCTGCTGCTTCTGTTTCAGCAGGGAGGCAGCATCAGCATAGTGAACTGATGTTGGACACCGGTTCAGTAGTCTTTATACTACCCAAATCTATTTCCTTGCAACTCTTCAGAAGTTTGCCACTTCCTGGACCTTGATTATGTTTCATGAACTGCCTCACAAACCAATCCCTCTCCTCAATTTTCTGTATACAAACATGATGTTAAAAACATACTGAGCCACTGCTTAATTCCACATTGTGTGCTGCAGCTTTAGACAGAATCGCCTTTGTTGTACGGGCAGGGAGTTACTGAAACCATTGCTTCAATCTCACCAAACATTACTGTAACACTTCAGCTTCAGCTACTACAGAGTACCTTACCGAGAAAACATTTTAGATTGTCCAAAAATCAAAACTGCATTCCAAAAGAAGTGATACTTGAAAAAACAGAAAATATTCTGCCTACTGTTCTCGGAAGAAGATGCCAAAACAGCATCTGGAAATAAACTGAGTGTTTTCTGAATGACATTCATCAGTAACAGTGACTGGACAAGGAAAATACCTAAAGGCTCCTTTACTACTCCTTAAGGGATTCAACAAATGGAAGTGCTGCAAAGGTGCTTTCTACTGTTGATCAAAGGAGAATATTATTAGCAGTCAGCTGCATAAGAGGATAAAACAGCATCCTCACAGTAACAGGCTGTGTCACTTTAAACATGAACCATAACATCTTTCACTACCACCCATTATTATTTTTTGATAACGGTCATGGTTATTAAATAACAACATAAATGCCAGTATTATCTTTAAGTTCCTATGCTTGGCAAGGCTCCTAAAGCACATGAAAACTACCAACAGGCTGCACTTTGTTACATTAGCACAGCAGGACGGAAATCCAATTTTACCATTGTTCTTCAGTTGCCTTTTTTGGACATATTAATTGCCAAGTTGGATGAAAATTCAGACAAAATCACATCTGTACGTTTAAACATTTTCCTTAAAACCTAAGTTTGGTGCACAGTTCATAAACCTTTATTTTTCTTTCGATCTTATTTCCAAATTTTTTTTTGCCAACTATGTTGTGAATTTTCTTTATGGATTCTTTACAGGAAGAATGCAGATTGTGAGATGGTCAGCGAGATTACTACAATTTCACTGTGTAATACTGACCAAGAATCAAAAATACAACTTCCTATTCGTTACAGCTACCCATATCTTCAGCAGACACCTATGCGGATGACGACAGATATAGCCAAACTTATTGCCAGAATACCCACAGACTTTAGAGAAGGATCATTTTAAGGCAGCTGTCTAGCATTCCTGATGCAGTATAAGCCATGTGAATTTCTATCAAAAGGCTGGGCAAGTGGAACAAATCAGTTTGATTCAACTCTACTAATATATCTTAGCTTGTCTTCTTTCAGTCCTTTTCCCTGTAAAAGAGGGATGTATAACATTACATAGTTCCAGATTACTCTTCCAGGTGAGCACATACATTGTTTGTGAATGTACATCAAGAGATTTTTCAGAAGGAAGAAGAGAAAAAAAAAACTGGGAAATTTGTATTAATGGCCAGAACTAGCTGCCCAGTTTCCATACGCTATAAATTACTGTGTTATTTTCCAGCAATAAGACAAGACAGCACTGACTCATGGAACAGTCTTAAAAAACCTTTCCTTTCCCCTGATTCAGCGTGTGAAAAGCTGGAGACTGAAATCACAGGGTTCTTGGGCCAACTGCCATAGAACTTATGCTTTGCCATCACCACGGTAAATTATTTCAGAAAACTCCGAAAAAACTTCTACTTCACAAATCACTCCTACCCTGATCCTCTTCCTCTACTTCAGGATCTTTTCCTCTGTTCAAACTGGTTAAAGAATCAGCATCTTTCACTGGACCACAGTTTTCTACCTCTTTAGAAGGGCACCAGAGAAACACCGTAAACAAAAATCATCAACAGAGTATTCTTAGACCACTGGAGAAAGTTAATGCCACAGTGGTGATCTTCAAAAATTTTCTTTACATTAAGTCTACAAAAACCTCTGCACAGCTAAGTGCCATACAACAACTGAACAAAGACACAAAGCAAGCTAAATACTGCAGGATTACAGTTGCTTGAAAACAGCACTGGACATAAATGATCCAAAGGAAACCAGAAAAGCACAAAGCATTCACAAACAGGGCACAACCATTGATTTCAAATTTGAATGTAGCCACTGTGAGAGTCTGAAGTCTTGAGATTTTATGAAAAGTAGTATTACACCATCTTTCCTTCTCACAGTGCCCCTGCTAACCAGTGTATAAACAAGGATATTTCAGAACACGACACTGGTCCTTCTTGCTATTGACAGCCTCTAGACTAGTTATGCTATAAGACACTGAAGAAAGAGGTATAGGGTTTAGTCTATTTGTTGCAGGCTGCATACGTTTTGTTTTCTGCATACGAGTCCAATTTAGGCTACTAGAGTAGTAGATGTTTTTATTCACTACTGCAACAAAAACAGCATGTGCCAAGAAAGCGTGAACATGAATTGTTGATTACTGATTTTATAAGGAATGTATTATATCATTTCATGTAAGGAAATAAACAATAATGAAAAAATACTCCTGGAAGTACACAGTGGTCTTTGGTATATACTAATACTGCCATTGCTTTTTCTTTGTATAATTACTTAACTGACTTTTTCCCCTCAGTTACACAACCCTGTTTGTACAGATTCATGTGCACACCGCATACAAACTTAATAGTATATGTCAAGAGACACTATTTGGGGACATCCTAAATAAGTCTGTTATTCAGAAGAGTGCTAAAGTTGAAAACAGCCATATTAAGAAATTAGTGTTCATTTCTGTAAATTGGTTTAAAAAAAAAAAAAAAAGCATCTAACTGATATGGAAACCTAAACACAATTTTCCAAGGTCATATATGTGAGAAGACTTGGGGCCATCATGCACACCTCTAAAATCAACAAAATCACTGAAATTATATTCACTCTTTCAATCTTTCCTGTGCCTGGTTTACTTAAGAAAATGAAACTTCAGAACTGCAAAACTAATAATCAGAAAAAAATCTTAAATTCCTGAGCAGAACCCTTTAGCTTCAAACTGAAGGAAAACTCTTAATCTAGTTGAATAACAACAACAAAAGTCGTTAACGATTAATGAAAGTTCCCATGAACTCATGATAATTCCTCCCCCCCAGAATATTTTTCTCTTGAAAAATGCCAAATCATCAAAAAGATCTCTGTTTATACAAAAATACAAAAATATATTGAGAAAAACTGATAATTTCAGAATTTCGTTGTGGAACATTTCTGGCTTCTATTTCAAAGTGACTTTGTTTCAGCAGCCATCTATATAGTTATGGTGAAATCAACGGGAAAATTTAAAAGAGGTGAAATCAAAAGGAAAATTTAGATTTTTCCTAACAACAACTTAATCTAAATGACACACATTCACGTATTAGATGCAGTATTGAATGTGTGGCCCCCAAATCACCTAGAGTTTTCAGTTCAAACTGCCTCCACCGTTTCTCTCAAAATCAAATCACAAATGCCAATATTTAACGGTCTTCAAATTCTTAAGCTACACGGAAAAAAAAAAAAGAAGAAACAAAAAGAAAAGCTAGAAAATAATGAAACTCACTTCTGTCATGTAAAACAGAATAAAAATAAAAGGTTTTTCCTTGCTGCCCACCTGTAAGGTGGGTCCTTTCACTCTCACTTGCTTTCAAGTCAGCAACTTTTCAATGGGATTGCTGAATTGCAACAGCTCCACAGAGCGTCCTGAAGTTGTTCACGAAAACGTTGTTCCCACTGCCACCGCCGGGACCCGTCTCCTCCCTGCTGCCCTGGCAGCCCCCCGGCCCTGCTCCTGCTGCCAGCGCCCTGCCGGCTGCTCCCCGTCTCCGGGGTCCCGCGCGCCCCAGCAGCCTCGCGGGCGCCCAGCGCGCTCTTGGGATGGAATTGCAGCTAAGCACATGAGAAAACATCACTTGTGGTCTTAAAGCTCCCACTTCCGGTTGATGTAGGATTGCAAAAACTGTATACAATTAAAGTAACATGTGAAATTTAGTCAACTGGGGAAACCTGGGAACTGCGAA